TGACGATCACGGCGACAACGACGACGGAAACGACGACGACGCCAAAGAGGACGACGACGACGACGAGGAAAGACAGATGACGAAGGCGGCGACGACGACGACGACGAGGGAGGAGGGAGGACGGCGACGACCACGACGACGCAAGAGCGCGCGCGCACGCTTGTGTTGAAAATCCGTGTTGGGAAACTCTTTGTTTTTGTATGTTTTTTGGACGCTCGATTTTGGGACCCTCCCGAAAACATATGTTTTTTGGAATAATTTCGGCATGCGCGCGCGACGACGCGCGCGCGTGCACGTCGTCCCGTTTTTTTGGTGGGGATTCTCGCGATGGCACGCGCGTAAGGGCGTTCGAAATATTCTGACATGTGCGCGCGAAAAGCCGTTTAGGTAGTTTTTTTTCCAGAACATCTTGAACACTTTATGGTTTTCTTAAGATTTCGTAAGAGCGCGCGCGTAAGCCTTTTTTTTAGAACACCAGAGTTTCGAAACTCTGTGTTGATGTATTTTTTGAAACTCGATTTTTTGAAATGCTGCCGAAACCGACGGTTTTGGAAGGATGTTGGCATGCGCGCGCGGCGACGCGCGCGTGTGCACTTCGTCCCGTTTTTGCAAGAGGTTCTTGAAAACTTATGATTTTTGATAAACGAGTGTGCGCGCCGCGCGACGTGCCAGGGGGACTCGCCACGGGACCCGCCACGGAACGTGCCAAGGAACGTGCCAGGTTACAATTCTGAGTGTATCGATCTTGATGTACCGTGCCGAGGGCTGTGCTGTGTTGCGCCGTGCTGAACTGCGATGCGCCATGCTGCGATTGTGCTCTATAGTGTTGTGGATCGAGTCCTCCGTTGCATCCGAGTCCTAACCGAACTGATCTGGATCTTAAGCTCGAACTGCCCTAGCACATAGTAGCTGCCCCAGAGCTAGATTGACAGGGCAACATGCCAGGAGGACGCGCCGCGGAACGTCCAAAGGGACGCGCCAAGCGAGGTGCCACGGGACGTGCCACGGGGACGCACCGCGGGACGTGCCGAGGGGCCGCGCTACGGAACGTGCCAATGGATGTGCCACGGGACGTGCCACGGGACGCGCCGCGCGTCGTGCCAGGGGACTCGCCACGGGACGCTCCACGGAACGTGCCAAAGACCGTGCCAAGTTGCAATGCTGAGTGTATCGATCTTGATGTACCGTGCCGAGGGCTGTGCTGTGTTGCGCCGTGCTGAACTGCGATGCGCCATGCTGCGATTGTGCTCTATAGTGTTGTGGATCGAGTCCTCCGTTGCATCCGAGTCCTAACCGAACTGATCTGGATCTTAAGCTCGAACTGCCCTAGCACATAGTAGCTGCCCCAGAGCTAGATTGACAGGGCAACATGCCAGGAGGACGCGCCGCGGAACGTCCAGAGGGACGCGCCAAGCGAGGTGCCACGGGACGTGCCACGGGGACGCACCGCGGGACGTGCCGAGGGGACGCGCTACGGAACGTGCCAATGGATGTGCCACGGGACGTGCCACGGGACGCGCCGCGCGTCGTGCCAGGGGACTCGCCACGGGACGCTCCACGGAACGTGCCAAAGACCGTGCCAAGTTGCAATGCTGAGTGTATCGATCTTGATGTACCGTGCCGAAGGCAGTGCTGTGCTGCGCCGTGCTGACTTGCGATGTGCCACGTGACGATTGTGCTCTGTAGCGTTGTGGATCGAGTCCTCCTTTGCATCCGAGTCCTTACCGAACTGATCTGGATCTTAAGCTCGAGTTGCCTCAGCACATAGTAGTTGCCCAAGAGCTAATTCACATGAGGGCATGCTAGGAAGACGCGCCGCGGAACGTTCCAAGGTGACGTGCCACGGGACGTGCCAGGGGACGCGCCGCGCGACGTGCCAGGGGGACTCGCCACGGGACGCGCCACGGAACGTGCCAAGGAACGTGCCAGGTTGCAATGCTGAGTGAGTGTATCGATCTTGATGTACCGTGCCGAGGGCTGTGCTGTGTTGCGCCGTGCTGAACTGCGATGCGCCATGCTGCGATTGTGCTCTATAGTGTTGTGGATCGAGTCCTCCGTTGCATCCGAGTCCTGGCCGAACTGATCTGGATCTGAAGCTCGAGTTGCCTGAGCACATAGTCTACACAGTAGCTGCCCCAGGGCTACTTGACAGGGCAACATGCCAGGAAGACGCGCCGCGGAACGTTCCAAGGGACGCGCCAGGCGACGTGCCAGGGGGCGTGCCACGGGGACGCACCGCGGGACGTGCCAAGGGGACGCGCTACAGAACGTGCTGGGGACAAGCGTCGTGTTGGTGGCCTGGACACGTAACAAGACGGTGCCAGCTCGGGACAACCATGTTAGATACCCCCTGGGTGGCCTGGACACGTCAAAACACGTGGTTCCAGCTCGGGACAATCATGTTAGAGATCTCTCTGGGTGGCCTGAGCCTGAAAAACACATGGTTCCAGCTCGGGACAGCCATGTTAGATACCCCCCTGCGTGACCTGGATACGCTGAATTCGCGCTCCCGCTTGGGACATCCTCGCAACGTCTTCCCTGGAGAGGCCCCCAAAGCGCATCCCCCTGTTCAGAGCAAGAAAACATAATTTTTCTGTATTGGGACATGTGTTCGGGTAGCGCTTTTCGGCCCAACGTGTGCTTCCTCACAATTCGGCGTTGGGCCCGACGCCATGTGAGATACCCCAACTCTGCAAAACCAGCGTTTCGATCGAGACATCCTCAACAAATTCTGAAACACAAGCGTTTCGCTCGAGACATCCCCCAACTCTGCAAAACCAGCGTTTCGCTAGAGACATCCTCAACAATTTCGGAAAAGCAAGCGTTTCGCTCGAGACATCCTCAAATAATTCCCCTGGCCTCCTTCAAACTCGTCATTGATCGCAGAGTAATTCCGCCGGCCTTCTTCAAGTCGAAACCCGGGGTAAACATCTAAAAGAGAACCCTTTGCCGAAGCCCTTTCCGGGAACAAATCTAGCGCGGTATGTAGCGCGGCGTTCAGTGCGGCCCTCATTGCGAGGTCCAATCTGGATCCGTCCTTTATACCCTTCTCTTGGACTTTCCGGCAGTTCGTGCAAAGGACGATAGCTGCGCAGGTGGTCACACCCAAGGAGGTCGAGGTTTGGCTTGGATAGGTTGAGTATCGCGCCCTGATGGACCTCTCAAGAGCTCACGGACGTGAAGCCATTTGCGCAGTTGGCAGCTCCCCGGGAGGGCGAGGTGCAGCTTGTGTGTCTGCGTGCAGCGACCCCGCTGGGCTTGCCGGGAGCGCGCGAAAGTGACGACGGTTGCGCAGCTGGCATCCCCCCAGGGAGGGTTTTTGCTCGGATCCGTGCAGCACACCACTCCGCGGTGCTTCCGGGAGGTCACGACAGTGGATTGAGTTCCGCGCTGGCATCTTCCGCGGTGGGCGGTGTGTAGTCTGCCTGGATCTGCGCAGGGCGCGATTTCGGTGGACAACCTTGTGCCTTCACCGAAGCGGCGGCGCTCGCACAGTTGGTGACATTCACGGAGGGCGGGTCAGCTTGGACCAGTGTAAACACCGCAATCCGCTGGACTTCCCAGGCGATTGCGAAAGTAAAGTATAAAGAATTGTGCTCCGCTGGAGCTCCCAGGATGCCACGACAACAGCGACCGTTTCGTAGTTGGCGGTCCCCAGGGGCAGGCGAGATTCAGTGTGGATCTGCGTAAGATCGCGCCCCGCTTGACTTCCCAGGAACTCACTGACATGGCGACAGTTGGCCAGCCCAAGGGAGGGCGACGTGCAGCTCGGATTGGCGCAAGACCGCAGTCCGCTGGGCTTGCCATGAGCTCACAAACTTTGCGACGCCTGCGCAGGTGGAAGCGCCCCACGGGAGGGGGGGGTGAGCGAAGTCCTCCTCCTCCTCCTCCTCCTCCTCCTACAACTACTCCTCCTCCTCATTCACTTCCAACCCCTCCCCTACCCTCCTCCACCTCCCCCTCCCCCCCCCCACCCCCCCCCCCTCCTCCTCCCCCCCCTCCTCCCCTCCTCCTCCTCCTCCTCCTCCTCCTCCTCCTCCTCCTCCTCCTCCTCCTCCTCCTCCCCCTCCCCCCCCTCCTCCAAGTTCGGATTTGCATAGGGCCACGCTCCGCCGGACTTTCCAGGAGCTCGCGCGAAAGAAGCGCGGCGGCTGCGCGGCTGGAGGGCCTCGGCGAGGCCGACGTCCAGCTTGGATCTGCGCGTGGCCGCACCCCGGTGGGCCCCCAGGGATCCCACGAGCGTCGGGGGCGGAAAAGAGGGGGGTGATGACTAGGGGGGGGTGGATATCATGGCGGGGGCCATGATATTTCCCCAGATTTCATGGCGCCTCTTCTTATTTCATTGCGTCCCTGGCCCCCCCGCTGGGCCGCGCACATGCCGCCGGTCATGATTTGCACCCCCCCCTCTTGGACACCCCCCTCTTTGCCGCTCCCCAGAGCGTGGCGACAGTTGCGCCGCTGGCAGGGAGGGCGATGTGCGCTTGAGATCCGCGAAAGTCCGCACTCGGCTGGGCTTCCCAGGAGCTTGCGAAGGAGGCGACGTTTGCGTTGTCGGAAGTCCCCCGCGAAGGGTGATGTGCAGCTTGGATTGCAGTAAGGCGCGACCCCGCTGGACGACCTAACAGCCGATGAAGGTGATGCCAATTACGCGGTTGAGACCCCTCCCAGGGAGAGCGAAATTTAGGGTATGTTTGCTTAAGCGTGCACTCCAATGGACGTCCGCGGAACTTACCAAAGTGGCGACAGTTGCGCAGTTGGCAGCGTCGAGTGCGTGGCCGAGGTCTGATATGCGAGAGACCGCACTCCGCTGGACTTCCCGGGAGGCAGCGACAGTGGAGAGCTGCGCAGCTGGCACCCCCCAGGGTGGACGACGTGTAGCTGGCGTCTGAGCAAGACCGCGCCCCGCTGGACTCCCGAGGAGATCATGAACGTGGCGCCAGCTCCGCAGTGTGGCCTTCCCCCTCCCCCAGGGAGGCCGGGGTCCAGTTCGGATGTGCATGAGACCGCGGCCCGCTGGACCCCCCCGAAGCTTGCGACAGCGGGGCAAACTGCGCAGCCGGCAGCCCCGCAGGAAGCAGGGCCTCGCTGGAATCTGCGCACGACAGGTCCGCACGCCCTCCCAGGAGCCCACGACATGGGCAGTGGTTGCGCAGTGGGCATTCCTCATAGAGGTCGAGGTCCAGTTCGGATCTGCACGTGGCACCACTCCGCTGCACGTCCTGGGAGCCGATGAAAGCGGCGACAGTTGCGCAGTTGGCAGCCCCGCAGGGAGGGCGAGGTCAGACTGGATTTGAGTAAGTCCACAGTCCGTCGGACCTCGAGGAGCTCACCGATGTGGCCTGGCAGCCCTCAGCGAAGGCGAGGTCTGCTTTGGATCTGATGTTGTCAGCATTCCACCTTGCCCCCAGAACCTCACGAAAGCGGCGGCAGTTGTGTGGATGGCTTTCCCTCCTGGATGGCGACGTTTTGCTTGGACTTTCATAAGGCCGCAATCCGTTGGACCACCCTGGAGCTCACGAAAGTGGCGACTTTTGTGCAATTGGCAGCCTCCAGGGACGACGAAGTCTTGTGCGGACGTGCGCAAGACACTGCTCCGTTTGATTTCCAAGGAACCCACGACAGTAGCGACCTTTGCGCACTTAGCAGTCCCCAGGGAGGTCGAGGTCTGGCCCAGATCTGAGTGAGACATGATTCCGCTAGATGTCATCTGGGGCTCACGGAGTTGTCGACAGTTGTGCAGCCGGCAGCCCCCAGGGAGGGCGACATGTAGTTCGGATAGTATTGGGGCACCATTCCCGTATACGTCCTTGAGCTGATGAAAACAGCGACCGCTTGCGCAGCTGGCAGCCCCACGTGGGCGAGGTTCTCGATCTCCGTAAGGCGCTATTCCGCTGAATCCCAAGGATCGCACGCAAGTGGCGGCAGTTCTGCAGTTGGGACCCCCCCGTGGAGGGCGAGGTTTAGCAGGGAAGCACGACGGTTGCGACAGTTGGCAGCCCCCAGTGAGGTCGATGTTTAATTCGGATCTGCGTAAGGCACGACTCCTCTGGTCTTCCCAGTATCTCACGCGACGGGCGACAGTTGTGCATGTGGTATTTCCCACGGAGGTCCAGGTCAAGCTTGGATCTGCGTAAGTCAGCAGTCCGCTGGACTCCGTCGAAGCAACGTGCGAGTTAGGAAACGTCGAATGGGCAGGCACGAGGTAATTGGCAGTGGGCTGGACGCACGAGGAGGGACGATGAATAGACAGCACTACTCCGTTCAGAAAGAAAACCCAACGCAGGTGGGTTTGGAATCGAGCAGGAGGAGCGGGGGCGGGGGGATGGGAAGGGGTGGGAGGGAGGACGAGGAAGAGATTGAGGAAGAATAGAGGGAACGACAGGATGCTGAGGAGGAAGAGGAGGAGGGGAGGCGGAATGCGAATGAGGCGGAGGAGGGGGATGGGGAGGAGGAGGCTGGGAAGATCCAGGTACAGGAATTGGAGGGCAAGAGGAATGGGAGTGGGATGGGTGGGTGCGGCGAGGAAGAGCAAGGAGGAAGTGGAGGGAGAGGAGGATGAGTTGGAGGCATAGTAAGGAAGATTTGCTGGGCGAGGAGGGTTTCTTCACAACCTCTCTAATGTCCCTCGCCCTCCCCCTGGTTCCTTTTCCCCCCTCCATGCCCCCGCGCCCTCCTCTCGCCTCGCCCACGGCCCGCTTTCCTCCCCCCCCCTTCTTCCTCCGCCTGCAGCTCCTCTCCCCTTGCCCGCCGCTCGTTTCCCCGCTTATCCTTCTGCGCGTTTCCCTTCCCTCGGTCGCCGCCTTCGATCGACCCGCGGGGTCACCCAAAAACAATAAGACTAGGATTTCAGTCTTCATTTTTTTTTTCTGATAGGCCAATCCCGCCATGACGGCCTCTGCCCGCGCCAGGCGCGTCCGAGGCGGCGCTCTCGCGGACGTACCACGCCGAGCGGGACCAGCGCTCGGGGTCAAGGACCGCGCGGCCTCTGGAGGCACGTGCCAGGGGCGGGTGTTGTCAGATGTGGTCCTGGTCCAAGCTTCGCTGATCCTCAGGAGTTGTTTCATGGTGCAGAGCGAGTCATTTCGTGCCAATCTGAGTTCTGACCTTGTGCATGATCAGCGCATGTGGAAGCACAGCGTTGCACAGTACTGTCAGCGTCCACGCGCCTCTGGCGTATGACTTGTGTGTGTGTGTGTGTGTGTGTGTGTGTGTGTGTGTGCGATGCGAATCGATTAGTATGCCACTGCGCCCCAGTGCTTTCTCGAACGCTCCTTGGAGACAAGTCGCCGCCGACCAAACACGTGCTGATGCGAGCAGGATCCACCTGTCCACGAAAGCTTAAGAGGCAGAGAAGTCTGCAAGGTGAATGGGCGAGCGTCATCGGAGGTCATAGGATAGGGTGCTGCCAGATTTGGTCCTGGCTCGAGGTTCGATGATCCTTACTCACGTCTCCGACGGTATGTTTTTTTTCAATCTGGGCGTTTATCGTTGATTCTGGCCTCTGGGGCTCGTTATTGGACACCGGGGCTACAATTTGATCGATCCACGAACCCGGAAAGGAATATAGAACTGTAACGCATGGCAACGTTTTCAAAGACACCTGATTGGGTGACGGGCAAATGCAATGCTGAGTGTATCGATCTTGATGTATCCTGCCGAGGGCTGTGCTGTGCTGCGCCGTGCTGAATTGCGATGTGCCAATGCGCGATTGTGCTCTATAGAGTCGTGGATCGAGTCCTCCTTTGCATCCGAGTCCTGACCGAACTGATCTGGATCGTAAGCTCGAGCTGCCTGAACACATAGTAGCTGCCCCAGAGCTAATTGACAGGGGGACATGCTGGGAGGACGCGCCGCGAAACGTCCCAAGGGACGCGCCAGGCGACGTGCCAGGGGACGTGCCATGGGGTCGCACCGCGGGACGTGCCAAGGGGGCGCGCTACGGAACGTGCCAATTGATGTGCCATGGGATGTGCCCGGGGACGCGCCGCGCGACGTGCCAGGGGGACTCACCAAGGGACGCCCCACGGAACGTGCCAAGGAACGCGCCAAGGTGCAATGCTGAGTGTGTCGATCTTGATGTACCGTGCCGAAGTGTGTGCTGTGCTGCGCCGTGCTGAATTGCGATGTGCCATGCCGCGATTGTGCTCTATAGCCTCTTGGATCGTGTCCTGGCGACGTGCCAGTGGACGTGCCATGGGGACTCACCGCGGGACGTGCCAAGGGGACGCGCTATGGAACGTGCTGGGGACAAGCGTTTCGCTCGAGACATGCGGTCAAAATCCAAGGACATCCTGGAAAAACAAACGAATTAGCCGAGACATCCTCTAAATTTTTGCGCGCGGGACGCGGCACGCGCGAGACATCCTCGGAATTCCTGCGACCGTGACGTGGAAACACGCATTTCACCTGAGACATCCTCTGAATTCTGGCCCCCACGAGGCCCCCTCTCGAGACATCCCCCAATTTTGCAAAACCAGCGTTTCGCTCGAGACATCCTCAACCAATTATGAAAATCATGATCGACCCACGAGCCCAGAAAGGAATATAGAAATGTAACGCATGGCAGCGTTTTCAATGACACCTGATTGGGTGACGGGCAAATGCAATTCTGAGTGTATCGATCTTGATGTACCCTGCCAAGGGCTGTGCTGTGCTGCACCGTTCTGAATTGCGATGTGGCATGCCGCCAATGTGCTCTATAGCGTCGTGGATCGAGTCCTCCTTTGCATCCGAGTCCTGACCGAACTGATCTGGATCTTAAGCTCGAGCTGCCTGAACACATAGTAGCTCCCCCAGAGCTAATTGACAGAGGGACATGCCGGGAAGACGCGCCGCGAAACGTCCCAAGGGACGCGCCAGGCGACGTGCCAGGGGACGTGCCATGGGGTCGCACCGCGGGACGTGCCAAGGGGGCGCGCTACGTAACGTGCCAATCGATTTGCCACGGGATGTGCCAGGGAACGCGCCACGCGACGTGCCAAGGGGACTCGTCACCCACGGAACGTGCCAAGGAACGTGCCAGGTTGCAATGCTGAGTGTGTCGATCTTGATGTACCGTGCCGAAGTTTGTGCTGTGCTGCGCCGTGCTGAATTGCGATGTGCCATGCCGCGATTGTGCTCTATAGCGTCGTGGATCGAGTCCTCCTTTGCATCCGAGTCCTGACCGAACTGATCTGAATCTTAAGCTCGAGCTGCCTGAGCAGATGGTAGCTGTCCCAGGACGAATCGACAGAGGGGACATGCCGGGAGGACGCGCCGCGGAACGTCCCAAGGGACGCGCCAAGCGACGTGCCAGGGGACGTGCCATGGGGACGCACCGCGGGACGTGTCAAGGGGACGCGCTACGGAACGTGCCAATGGACGTGCCAGGAGGACGCGCCAAGGAACGTCCCAAGGGATGCGCCAGGCGACGTGCCAGGGGACGTGCCGTGGGGACGCACTGCGGGACGTGCCAAGGGTACGCTCTACGGAACGTGCCAATGGACGTGCCGCGGGACGTGCCAGAGGACGCGCCGCGCGACGTGCCAGGGGGATTCGCCACGGAACGCGCCAAGCAACGTGCCAAGGTGCAATGTTGAGTGTATCGATCTTGATGTACCGTGCCGATGTCTGTGCTGTGCTGGGCCGTGCTGAATTGCGATGTGCCACGCCGTGATTGTGCTATCGACTGCTCTTCGCATCCGAGTCCTGATCGAACTGATCTGGATCTGAAGCTCGAGCTGCCTGAACACATAGTAGCTGCCCCAGAACTAATCGACAGGGGGACATGCCGGGAGGATGCGCCGCGGAACGTCCCAAGGGACGCGCCAAGCGACGTGCCAGGGGACATGCCATGGGCACGCACCGCGGGACGCGCCAAGGGGACACGCTACGGAACGTACCAATGGACGTGCACCGCGCGACGTGCCAGGGGAACTCGCCACGGGACGCTCCGCGGAACGTGCCAGGCAACATGCCAGGCTGCAATGCTAAGGGTATCGATATTGATGTAACGTGCCGAGGGCTGTGCTGTGCCTGGGCGACCTGGACACGTGAAAACACGCATTTTGCTCAAGACGTTCTCAGCACATCCTCATGCTAGACATCCGCCTGGGCAACCTGGACACGTGCAAACAAGCGTCTCGATCGAGACTTCCTCGACACATCCTCATGCTAGACATCCGCCTGAGCGATCTGGACACGTGAAAACAAGTCTCTGGTTCGAGACATCCTCAACAAATCCTCATGCTAGACATCTGACTGGGCAACCTGGATGCGCGAAACCAAGCGTCTCGCTCGAGACATCCTCAAGACCTGGGCATGTGAAAACAAGCATTTCACTACAACGCAAAACAAGCGTTTCGCTCGAGACATCCTCAACAATGTATGAAAAACAAGCGTTTCGCTCAAGACATCCTCAACAATAACTCCGCCGGCCTCCTTCAAACTCGTCATTTATCGCGAAATAATTCAGCCGGCCTCCTTCAAGTCGATTCCGGGGGTAAACTTATAAAAGAGAACCCTGGGCCCCCGCATTTTCTGGCAACACGCGTTTCGCTCGAGACACCCTGTCAAAATCTAAGGAAATTTTGGAACAACAAGCGAATTAGTCGAGACATCCTCGAAATTCCTGCGCGCGGGACGCTTTTCTGCGTCGCGGTCGGGGCTCCGGACTTAGGTTATTTTCGATGATTCTGCTAAAACTGCCCCGTACCCTTTTTTATGAAGGACAACGGGGGTCCGCGGACCTTGTTATTTATCGAGGATCCGAGGTGGGGGGTCGACTTTCCTCGAGGAGGGGGAGGAGGAGGAGGAGGAGGGGAGGAGGAGGAGGAGGAGGAGGAGGAGGAGGAGGAGGAGGAGGAGGAGGAGGAGGAGGAGGAGGAGCAGGAGGAGGAGGATAGAGGAGGGAGGAGGGAGGGGGAGGGGGGGGGAGGGGACAAGCTAGGTGCGCTCGCGTCATATCTGACATCCTACCCCTCCCTCCCATCCCTTACCATGGCGCAGATCCCCTCTCTACTCGCTCAGTCGGATGTCGAGCAGGGCAATGATCCCGAAAGGGTATGTGATGCATTGTAGAGCACGGCATGGCATGGCGTAGAAGAGCACCGCAAAGCGTAGTATGAACCTAGCATTGCATTACATGCCGTGGCATGGCACGGGAAATGACGCCAGCGCTGCAGCGAGAGCACGAATCGAAACGAGCGGAAGCGCGGAAATGAGGCCAGCGCTGCAGCGGGAGCACGATTCGGAACGAGCGGAAGCACGGAAATGAGGCCAGCGCTGCAGCGGGAGCACGATTCGGAACGAGCGGGGCCCGAAAATGAGGCCGGCGCCTCAGCGAGAGCAGCATTTTGAAACAAATGCAGGCGAAAACCCAACTCGGGGGAAACCTGTGTGTAAAAAACAGTACGCGGGGGGGGTCGAGCACTTTCAAACCGTCATCAGGGGAGGAGGGAGAGTAGTATTCATATTGAGTAACTGTGGAGGAGGAGAAGGAGGAGGAGGAGGAGAAGGAGGAGGCGTAGGAGTAGGAGTAGGAGTAGGAGTAGGAGTAGGAGTAGGAGTAGGAGTAGAGTAGGAGTAGGAGTAGGAGTCAAGCTAGCCAGCTCGAGCGAGTCAAGCATGGCATGCCCAGTCCCACCCGCCCTCCCACAACATAAGAAGCAAAGCTGGCACAACTGGGGGCCGAAGTCACACCGGCCAGCCGGTTTGGTACAGCTGATGCGGCCGCGATGGCGGTTGCCGACGGGAACTGGCGAGCGCGTGTTGAATGCCGCGCACGCATTGCCAGACGAGTCGAGAATGGCCCGGTACACCGCAGGAAGCCAGAGGTGGCCGGAGGAAGCCCGACGGTCTGACAGGACACCCCAAAGCATTTTTGTGAAAAAGCATTGGGTTTTTGATGTTTTTATGTTGAAATGCTTGCAAACACACGGTGTTCGGTAGGATTCTGACATGAACGCGCGAGTGTGCTCTTTGTGGTATTCTTTGCAC